CTGATGAGATATTTACTCACTAGTTTGGCATAAAAAGACATAACCAGACTCTGGCGGCTCATACCTATAATCCTAGCTACTTGGGAGGCAGACACTGGGAGGATCGAGGTTCGAGGTCAGTCAGAGAAAGTAGTTTGAAAGACCCTCATCTCCAAAATGACCAGAGCAAAATGGAGTGGAGGTGTGGCTCAGGCAGTAGAGCGCCTGCTTTGCAAGGGCCAAGCCCTGAGTTCAAACTACACTCTCACCAAAAAAAGACATTTAAATATGTAAGCAACATTTCCTGCCTTCAGAGAGGAGGAAAAGGAGGACAGAGCTGTATCTGTAACACACAGACTGTCTGGCATGGTCTACACTGTGCTAAAGGGCATTCAATACATATTCCCACATCATTTCTGAAGCAGTGAGTGATTCCTAGTCACTTTTCACCCTTAACAAAGGGATACATGGAAATCAGCCCTACCAAGAATGCACATACATATGTTTTTTGCATGACTAAGAACTTTACAGACCCTCTGAAGTTCCCAAAGCCCTACAGTACCTGCTATTCAAGAGTATGGTTGCCAGGCCAGCAGCACAGGCATTACTTGGGACCTTATGCATTCTCAGAGCCCACCCAGACCTATGTAGGGCTGGTGCATATTAACAGCTGACTTTTTTTTTGAGACAGGGTCTCGCTATGTGTGTAGCCAGGCTGGGCTGGGGGCTTGGCTCAAGTGATAAGAGAGCTTACCTAGCAGCCCTGACTTCAATCCCTAGTACTGGGGGAAAAATCAAAAGAAAAACAAAAGCAACAACAGACTACCCTTGAACCTATGACCCTCTTGCATCAGCCTCCCGAGTGCCATGACTGCAGCTGGTCGGTTTGTTGGTTTGAACTCAGGGATAGTTCAAACTATCTACATCAACCACATCCCAGCCCCAGAGCAGCTGATTCTTAATGACTGTGAAGTCTGGGAAGCACCGCTATGCTCCATCTTGTGTATCCCAGGGTACTAAGGAGAGCGCGTTACCCTGCACACGGCTACAGAAAATTCTATGGCTTTCAACTCCTGTAGTGGATGACCACTTATCACCAAAACGAGTACATCTCAAAACGGAAGAATCACTGTTAATCACGCTGGGACGATGAGTGTGAACTAGGACACCTGGTCACTCCTAACTGTAAGGTCCCTAAGATGGCATCTTAACTCCTTAGCTTGGTGTGCTGGGTCAGTCCTGCCTACAGCCCCATGTCCTTGACACCTTTACTCGGCACACACACTGACAGCTCTCGTCTTGCCAACTCTCTGATGAGGCGGCACACAGGCATCAGCTCAGGAAGCGCTCCCAAGCCCGACACGCTTGCATAAGAGCACAGCTTGCATCTCATGGTAACACCCATCCACCTGTGCTTTATTTTCATTTTTTTGGCAGTACTGGGGTTTGAATTTAGGACCTCGCTCTTGCAAGGCAGGTGATCTACCACTTGAGCCACTCCACCAGTCCCACATCTACCTTTGTAATTCCCTGTGTCTCTTAGTTCTGGACTTGATATCCACTTAAGCACAATACTTAGGATCTAGTAAGTAGCTACTGATTCAAAAATAAGGATGAAAAAACCTTGAGGTTCAGAGAAACCAGCCTTGCCTGAGATCCCATGAACAGAAAACAGAGTAAGAGAGCACAAATAGGACATGGGGCAGGCCTCAAGGCACAGACACATGGACAATTACACAAAGTAACACTTAAGGATGAGGAGCCCAGGAGAAGGAGTGGACAAACCTGAGAAAAGACAGGAGGAGGGACAATGCTGGGGTGGCACTGAAAGGGACTGGACAGCCCCCTTTCTCCCAGTTGGGCAGTGGTTGCCCAACTCAGAAGACCAGAGGGAAGCCCAGCAGCCACACCATATTCCAAGCCACAGCTCTTGATTCACGAGTGACCAAAGGGCACAAAGCTCAGGACCCTGCCTACTCAGGACACACACTCATGCTCTTCTTCTGGCTGCTGTGTGGAGACTGTGCCCTACATATTTGAGGCCTGCGACTGCCATGTATGGAAGCCAACTGGTCCTCAAACATATCACTGAATGGCTGAACCAAACCAACTTTGCAGCCTGACTTACCTCTGGAATTTCTAGTCATAGAAGCCAATGAATCTCTTGTTAGTGGTTCGAGCCAGTTAGAAAGCAGGTTTTTGTTGTTGTTGTTGCTGTTTTTTAAACACCTAAGTAACACAGTTCAGTAGCAGCAACCAGAGGCTTAGATCGACTAAGATCAGGTTACTCTAAACTCCAAGCCCTACTCACTGTCTGCCTAGCTACAACGTCCTTCTCTCTCCTCTCCACTTGTCGAAATCCCAAGGCTAACTGCTTAGCCATCTCCACCACCACTGTAGGAGATCCTGTGTATAATTCAATACTTAATTATAAATCCTGCAGTGTGCCCCACTTATTTGTCTTAGTTACTATGATGAACACAGGGTCTAAGCAGTAGCTAAAACAACTGGCCTTTCACCAAACACAAGGCAGCTCAGGACAAATATTTTTAAGTAGGTCTTTCCCAATATTTTTCAAGCATTCACACGTATAAACTTGTTTTTATCACATGTGCAGGGCCATTTTTTTTTTTTTTTTTTTTTTTGGTGGCGGTACTGGAGTTTAAACTCAGGACTTCAAGCTTGCTAGGCAGGTGCTCAGCCCATTTTTTTTTTTTTTTATTTTTTTATTATTCATATGTGCATATGATGCTTGGGTCATTTCTCCCCCCTGACCCCACCCCCTCCCTTACCACCCACTCCGCCCCCTCCCTCACACCCCCCACCCCCTCAATACCCGGCACAAACTATTTTGCCCTTATCTCTAATTTTGTTGAAGAGAGAGTATAAGCAATAATAGGAAGGAACAAGGGTTTTTGCTAGTTGGGATAAGGCTAGCTATACAGGGCATTGACTCACATTGATTTCCTGTGCATGTGTGTTACCTTCTAGGTTAATTCTTTTTGATCGTACCTTTCCTCTAGTTCCTGGTCCCCTTTTCCTATTGGCCTCAGTTGCTTTTAAGGTATCTGCTTTAGTTTCTCTGTGTTGAGGGTAACAAATGCTAGCTAATTTTTTAGGTGTCTTACCTATCCTCGTATCTCCCTTGTGTGCTCTCGCTTTTATCTTGTGATCAAAGTTCAATCCCCTTGTGTTTGCCCTTGATCAAATGTCCGCATATGAGGGAGAACATACAATTTTTGGTCTTTTGGGCCAGGCTAACCTCACTCAGAACGATGTTCTCCAATTCCATCCATTTACCAGCGAATGATAACATTTTGTTCTTCTTCATGGCTGCAAAAAATTCCATTGTGTATAGATACCACATTTTCCTGATCCATTCGTCAGTAGTGGGGCATCTTGGCTGTTTCCATAACTTGGCTATTGTAAATAGTCTGCCAGCCCTTTTTAATGTATTTTCTAGATAGGGCGCATGAACTAGTTTCCCAGGCTGGCTTTGAACCATGATCCTCCTGATCTGTGCTTCATGAGTAGCTAGGATTATAGAAGTGAGCCACCTGTACTCAGCTCAAATTGGCAGTTTTAAAATCCAAGAACATGCCAGGACCAGTGGCTTACATCTGTAATCCTAGCTACTTAAGAGGCTGAGGTCAGGAGGATTGAGGTTCAAATCCAGCCCGGGCAAATAGTTCAAGAGACCCCATTTCCAAAATAACCAAAGCAGGGCTGGCAGAGTGGTTCAAGTGTAAAAGACCCTGCCTAGCAAGCTTGAGGCCTTGAGTTCAAACTTCAGGCCTACCAAATAAATAAAACCAAAGCAAAAAAGGACTGGAGGTGTGGCTCAAGTGATAGAGTGCCTGCTTTGTAAGCACTAAGCCCTGATTTCAAATCCCAGTCCCCCTCCCAAAAAAAAAATCCTAAAACATAAAAATGTCTAGGTTTAAATAGCCACTATCTTCTTCCTTTCCCCCTTTTTTGCCTGTTTCTGCTTTGTTTCATTTTTGGTGGTAGTAGGGTTTGAACTCAGGGCTTCACACTTGAGAGACAGGTGCTTGCCCTACCCCTTGAACCACACCTTCACCCCTTTTGCTCTGGTTATTTTGGGAGATAGTACCTTGCTTTTTGCCCCAGCTGACCTGGACCACGACGTACGTGTGTGTGTGGTGTGGTGTGGTGTGGTGTGGTGTGGTGTGGTGTGGTGTGGTGTGGTGTGGTGTGTGTGTATTACTGTGGCTTAAGCTCAGGGCCTTATGCTTCCTATTCAGGCAACTCTATCGCTTGCGCCACTCTATCGCTTGCGCCACTCTGCCAGCCCAATCCTCCTATCTTATACTTAGCTAGGACTACAAGAGTGCAGCACCACGCCTACTATTTTCCCATTGAGATAGAGTCCTGAAAACATTTTTTGGGCCCAAGCTGGCCTGGAACTGGATCCTCCTGATCTCAGCCTCCAGCATAGAGTGGGATGACAGACCTGCCACTGTGCCCAGCTACTGGTTGAGATGGGGTCTTGTGACCTTTTTGCCTAGGCTGGCCTTGAAATGCATTCCTCCTAATCTCAGCCTCCCCAGTTGTTAATGTCATAGGCATGAGCCACCAGTGCCTGGCTCTTCCTTTGTTTTTTGAGACAGTCTCACTATGTAGCCCAGGTTGACCTCTTGCAATCCTGCCACTACACCTGGTTACAGATTCTTCGCTTTGGGTATCTTTTTTTTTTTTTTTGGTTTTGGTTTTTGTAGCACTGGGAATGTAACCTAGGACTTTGTTACCACTGAGTACACTCCCAGAAAACCTCCTCTTCTTGATGTCCACACAGGATCAGTCTAGCTGTTGTGGTCCTGATCTTCATTCCTAGGACTAGAACTGCCAAGTTCATATGCAGATCTCAAAACACTGGATGATCTCCAACCAGATCCTCTCCTTGTTATCTCCTCCCACTGTCAAATAACTCAGGCACTGGGCAAACACTGGGATGCCCACCATGCTGGGCAGCAGGGTACTGGAGAAGCCAGACCACACACCTTCCTGACCCTGACCAGATGCAGCAGGCCAATGGTCTCCCCAGATGTCTGCAGAGTGTTCATCTTGCACACTACAGGACCTCAGCAGGCAGGGCTATATCCTTCCACTGCTCTCAGCTGAGAGCTAGCACATGGCCCCGAAGATGGCTCCTGGAAAAAGATATGGCACCTTGGGAATCGAGTCTACAAGACCTGAGAGGCTTGCTGAGCATATGAAATGTGGGAGATATTTCCTTTTCCAGAGAAAAGTAATTGTCTAATCACTACAACTAACTCAAATCTATAGTGCCATCCAAAGAAGCCATGGCAAAGCAACAGACGGAAATGGACTTTGCTTTCTATCCACCTTAAAGAAAAAAATAGTTTGCCTAACACATGCCATGGGATAAGATGCCAACTCTTTCCAAACGCTGCTTGGCAATGGGGTCCAAGACCAGTGTTTGCTAGGGTAAGCCACAACATTACTGTGTGTGAAGTTCCCACCACGTTCGACTAAGCCTCCAGCCAAATTTGAAGAGAATGCTTTTCAAGATTCACAAATGTTTTTAAAGGGCTAGCTCTTTGTCACTAACTGGAATGTTAAGTCACAGATGGAAAGAAAACTTATGGCAGGAGTGTAGACTTACCTTACCCTATGTTGCTGTGGCCTGGAAGAGCCAAGAGTCAGATAGAAAGCAAAGTAGAACCACAGCAACAGCCTGTGGAACACAAGAGGTAACAATTTTCTCAGATGACAATCCATGACAGAAACTAAAACAGAAGGAATTTCTGCTGGCAAATTGGCTTACTGCTGTGCACACATCCTCAGAAACTTACCAGACCACCGGCTAGGACTGGTTCTTTGTTTTTTTTTTGGAGGTACTGGGGTTTGAACCCAAGGCTTCCCACTTGCTAGGCAGCACTCTACCACTTGAGCCACTCCACCAGCCTGAATCAGCAACTAGTTCCAATGGTCACAGTAACAATATTCTTGTTTGGGGTCTGGAGTTCTATTTCTAGATGTGCAAGCCAGAGTCACCAGTCAGAGCAGCTCTTTATGGCTTTGAGGAACACAATTACACTGACAGTTTAAAAAGATAAAAGCAAATGTAAGCCAGGAGTGGTGGCACATGCCTGTCACCCAATCACTGGGGAAGCTGAAGCAGGACAATTCAGAGTTCAAAGTCTACCTGGGATATAGCAAGACCCTGTCTTAAAAAAAGAGAGGGAAGGGAAAGGGAGGAAGGAAGGAAAATATAAGAAACATCCTACTTTCTTCCATCAAAGCTATGAGGTAAGATGCTTGGGGTACTAATGTGAATTGAGCAGGTTCCCAGACCTGCAGAAGAACCCCAAAGACAAGAGTGCTGTGCCCAACACTGCACTGCCTCCTCAGACCTGTGACTTCCCACAGATCCCAGCTGCAAGAGGCCTCAGGCTTGACCATCAAGGTTCCTTACCTGTGCTCCCACACTTGTCTCTCCATGTCACCCTACACAGCATCTCAGCCACACCAATCCATTTCTCAAGTGTGCCACAGGCTTGAAGACTTTGTTTCTGTGCGTATTCTCCCCCACCTCCATGTCCTTGTCCTCTGCTTCTCTGCCTGGAAAACTCGGACTCCAATGTCACCTTGCTACAAGAAACATCTTCCCAGCTCAGTCACTTTTGCCTTTTTCAATTCATCTTACACCAGCCATCTCTTAGAACAAGCCACTCCACCTCCACTGCACCCTCCTAGTCACAAGTCCAAGAATCCTCTTAACTGACCTCCTATGGACACTGTGACCCATTAGTATATTCGGTATCAGGCAGAGCATGACCCCCCCAACTATAATCTGATTACAAGGTTCCTCAGCCAAACATCCTACCACCGCCTCTCCCGCCCCTCCAACTCAGAGCTAGAGACACACAGGCTCCAAGTCTCCCTCCAGCCACAGGGCCACTGCACATGCCACCCTATCTATCTCCTGCTGTAAATCTCAACATGCTGTACATCTCCTGCTGGTATGTCCCAGCTAAGGTGTCACTTCCGTGAAAACCCTCAACTTCTCCAGACTATGCTAACAGATCCAGTCCCTTCCTGAATCAGCAGCTTCTGTGTTTCAAATGACATACATACACGTAACTGTGATTATGTGATCAGCAGCCGTCCTTCTCACTAGGCCATCCACTGTGTAAGAGCCCCTATGAAAGAGGCACATCTGGCTTTGCTCTCAACTCCATCCTCAGGACTATGTGATAGATGAACACCAAAGTGAGTGAAAGTTCTCAACTGTGTGGGTCCGTTACTAGAACTACTACACTAAAGCCAGATTCACCTACAAATTACCCTGCTTCTTTCCCCACTTTCCTTGCAAACATCTAAAGCACATGAACTCTCTTTTCGTCTCTATATTCCTAATGTCCCGGCATCAAAAATCTCTAAATAATCACAAGACATAAGGTCCTCTACGTGTAGCTCTGAGTGTAAGTGACTAACATCGTACAAATTAATTCCAAACAAAGTAGGATGTTACCCATGGAAGACCAGATTTTGTATTTATCAGAGTCAGAAGTAGTTAGATGTGGCTGCTCTGGAGAAAGGGCCTGAATTGGGGAGTGCAGAGTGTTCTGTTTTAGCCATTGCAGTACTTTGATAAAGTGAGAGAAGAAAAGATGACTTTGAGGATGGAAAAAAAATTGAGGTTAATTACTCAATTCTCCACTATTCATTCACCCAGGCATGCCATTACCAACCTCTCCAACTAATGAAAGATTTGTCCTTTGTAACTCTCTAGTGCTAAGGCAATGAACCAAAGGAATTTGAATGGGAAGCAGCTCTTTACAACACGAAAACTGGAGCATGGCTGCAACAACAAAGGCTGAATGTCTTCAAAATATTGGGGTTGGGTATTGTTTTTGGGGTCTGAACTCAGAGCTTCATGCTTGCTAGGCAGACTCTAACACTTGAACCACATGCCTCCAGCCCCAAAATACTGTTTTTAAAATTGTTTTGGGCACAGTAAAATGGTGCACACCTGTGGTCCCAGCACTCAGGAGGCTGAGGCAGAAGGATTGCAATTTCAAGACCAGTCTGAGCTACATAGTGAGATTCTGCCTCAAAAGAAACTAAAGGTTATTTGGGCAACATTTTATTACTCACAAATGTCTCTAGCACCTCCACAATCTTCGTGTATACCAGACCCTGACAAGTTATGTTAGCCTCTGAAATAACTGCTCCATTCCCTAGCAAAATGAGGTAACAATTAAAAAAAAAAAAAGAAAAAAGAAAAAAAAATGAGCAGATGCCTTAAATAATTTTGAAAACAAAGTACAGGCACACCCTTGTAATCCCAACACTCAGGGGTTGAAACATGAGGACTGAGAGTTTTAGGCCAGCCTGGGCTACATATTAAGACCCTGTCTCAAAAAACAAAAAGCCCCAACAGAAAAAAGTGTAGATGAGAAACACCAAACTGGAGTTCAAGGGTCAGAGAAGTGGATGATTCATACTTTTTATTTTCAATACTCAACAGAGGAACAGTCAGTTGCCAGTTGAAAGCAAGTCTAACCTGGTCATAGCAGTGCATACCTGTGATTCCAGTTACTTGAGAGGCAGAAGATTGTGAGTTGAGGCCAGGCCAGGCAAAGTTAGTGAGACCCTGTCTCAGGAACAAATACAAACAAAAAGCCTGACGATGTAGCTCATGCCTGTAATCCTAGCTACTCAGGAGGAAGAGATCAGGAGGATCACAGTTCAAAGTCAGCCACAGCAAGATAGTCTGGGAGATCCTATTTTGAAAAACCCATCACAAAAAAAAGGGCTGGTGGAGTCACTCGAGGTGTAAGCCCTGAATTAAAACACCAGAACTGCAAAAAAAAAAAAAAAAAATGGTAGAGGACTTGCCCACCATGCACAGGACCCTGGGTCCAAACCAGTACCACTGGGTGTAGCTATGTCTTTATCTTGTAATTAAAAACAGTGGAGCTGGAAGCATAGCTCTCAAATGGTAGAGTAAATGCCCAGCAAGTACAAGGCCCTGAGTTCAAACCCCAGCACCACTAAATTAAAAAAATCTGTAAGGATGTTTATCAAAATGGCCAGGTACCAATGGCTCATGCCTATAATCCTAGCTCCTTGGAAAACTGAGCTTGGGAGGATCGGGGTTTGCAAAGAACTGCAATGGCTAACTGTTTGACCTGGCAAATAGTTCTCAAGACCCCATCTTCAAAATAACCAGAACAAGGGTTGGAGGTGTGGCTCAAGTGGCAAAATAACCAGAACAAAATGACTGGAGGTGTGGCTCAAGTGGTAGAGCACCTGCTTTGCAGGCACAAAGCCATGAGTTCAAACTCCAGTCCCACCAAAAATAAATAATAACTAAAAATGTACTTCACACTAAATTTAGTAATTACTAATATAATTAAAATATTTGGGTTGGGAGCATGGTTCAAGTGGTAGAGTGGCTGTCTGACAAATTTGAACTCAAACTCTAGTACTGAAGAGGGAAAAAAACGAAAATATTATAATCTTTGAGGGACTGGAGATGTGGGTCAGGTGGTAGTGCCTGCTTTATAAGCGCAAAGCCCTGAGTTCAAACTCCAGTTCCACCAAAAAAAAAAAAAAAAAAGTTTAGTCTTTATTTCACTCATTCCTTCATCACTTTCACTTAGGAACCACTACGAGGAAGAGCATGTGAAACACTGTGCTCTTTACTGGTGTCTTCCAGAAAAGCAATTCTGTGAAACAGAAAAGCAGCATCTGGAAAGACCAAAGACCCGTGTTGCATTTCAGGCCCCACTCACTTGCTTATCACTGTGTGACCCGGAGTCCCCACCTCTCAGGGTCATGCTCCACACATGTGTAACGTGATGATAAGAATCCACGACAGGTTGGGCGCCGGAGGCTCAGGCTTGTAATCCTAGAGACCCAGGAGGCAGAGATCAGAAGGATCGAGGTTCAAAGCCAGCCCGGAAAAGAGTTCATAAAAAAGGTCTGGTGCAGTGGCTCAAGGTGTAAGCCCTGAGTTCAAACCCCAGTACCGCAAAAAAAAAAAATTCCTGACAGTCACACTGGGATTATACAAGCCATGCATTCTTCAAATGCTGATTACCAA